GTCTGAAGATCTATGAGGACAGAAACTGGTCTGCCACTCTTCAGACTGTATTCCAAAGTATTCGATAAACAATTGGTGAATGGATTCTTGACTAATGAAAAAGGAAAGGACAATAATCAGTGAAAAACTGGAATGGACCCTCAAAGGCTAATTGGTGGAGAATAAACTGAGATTTGTTTGAACTCTTCCATCTAATCCACTCTATGCTCCCAGCATATTTTCTGCTTTGCTCTCTGGCTTGCAGAAAGGTTCAGGAAACATACACTTTATCTGCCAGACTTTCTGAAGCAGCAACCAATGTCCTGAATGGTTTCACTCCTGCCTTGATTTCCAAACTTAACCTGTTCACCCTTTCTTTGGCTTCTAATCTCATGCCTCATATCCTGCTTACAGTCTTGTATACAATGTTCTTTTTATATTTGACAATTCTCCTCTCAAAGTGATCTTGGCTTGCCTTCTGACCACTACATTTCATGGATCATGTAGTGAGCATATTCTATATGCCCAGCTTATAGGACTTACTCTATAACCCAGACCTACAGGACTTGATCATTTAGTCCTCATTCAAGGTCACAGTGTTATCAGAGATTTTCTTTTATTATTCCTACTTTACAGCTGATGAAAGTAAGATCTCTTAGGTTAAGAAACTTGTAAAAGAAACAGAACCAATGGCAGAGCTGAGATGTAAGGGATGAAAATCTGACTCCAGAGCTTGAGTTACTAGCCTCATAGTTATCATTTCTCTAGGCCCATGCCTGTGTTTTACCTCTCTGAATACTGTCCTGCACAGCCTCAGAAGTCCTTTGCATTACTCTTGGAAGTTCCATAGTGAATCTCATGGACAGCATGGTTGAATCCAAGGCAATCGTGATAACAGTCACTGTCCTAAACGATGTCCATGTGTTACTTCTTTTGACCTTCACAGACTCTAGTAAGATAAGGTTAGCTCTATTTTATAAGATAGAGGAGGCACAAAGAGGTAAAATAATTTGTCCAAGTTTATATAATTAGTAATGGGAGAATTAAGAATTTAAATCTAGGCAGTCTGACTCAACAACTCATACTTCTGGGTGAGAAGAACATATTGGGAGGTGGAAAGCATAAAGAGCGCATAGGATGAGGTGAAAAGTATGGGTGAGACTGAATGGTTCAGTCTTTAATCCTCTAGGATAGAAGATCAAAACTCAGTATGTCTTTAGTTATTCGTTGCTGCCTAAACAAACCATCAAAAACCTGCCTGGCTTAAAGCAACAATTATTTATTAGGTAACAATTCTGTAGGTCAGCAGTCTGAGCTGGACTTGGCCGGGAAGTCCTGTTGGTTTTGCCTGAGACCACTCACATGGGAACACTCAGCCGGGGCAGCTCGGCAGGGCCTGGATGGTCTGAGATGGGTCCTTGGTAGGCAAAGCCGGCCTCGTGGGTATGTGACTTGGGTTTTGTTCACTGTTCTGCTACTGCTGTCCTGAAATTCATAATAATTATGGAACAAGGGGCCCTACCAGGCCTGGCAAATTATGTTGCCAGTCATGCTAGTGCTGAATGTCAGTTGGGCATCTTTCTGCATGTGTTCTCTCATCCCCAAAGAGGCTAGCCCAGGTTTCTTCGCATGCTAACAAGAGCTTCCCAACAGAGTGAGAAAAAGCCTGCAAGACCTCTTAAGGTCTAGGCTCAAATCCCACATCATCACTTCTGCTGCATTTTATTGATCAAAGCAAGTCACAAGAAGGTGGAGATCTAGAGTCTAGTTGATAGAAAGAACAGAAAAGTCACAACGTGAGGGGGCATTACAGAGGGATGGAACAAGGGATATGCAATGTATCACAAATGAGGTACATGTTAAAGGAAAATGAAAAAATTTCAGTCATCTACATGCTCTGATTAAGACTTCTCCTATCGTAGATTCATGCAAAGGTACCCAGTATTTGGATAATACAGCTCTAGAACATAAGAATCCTTGTTAGACATATAAATGTGAGAGTTCTCAACAGGTAGGTGACAGGTTTCTGAATAAACAAATCAGAACCCCTAAGAAGATTGCATTAACTAAGACAAAGGTAAACAAAGAGATTCATCAGTCCTTCAGATCACCCAGATATCTGAGTGTACTCCTATTCCCATGCATCTCAGCCTCCCTCTCTAAGAGGAACCCTCCAGGGACCTATCCAGTTTCTATAGCCCACTGATGGTCCAGTATATCTGCAGAAGGTAGAGCCTTCACTGTTATGTCCAGATATACCTACATGTAGTCCAATGACCAACCAACTAAAGAAAAAGTACTTGATCTCCACTTTAACCTAATTGCATAATGGTGGAGCAAGAAGAGAATTAACCACAGTAATAACATCCATTTGGAAGAAGGAGAGAAAGGGAAACATGCAGCAACCAGCTCTCCTTAATAGTTTTCTTCCCAGGCAGAAATTCCCTGGCCATGGAAGAAGCTAACCTATCCGGATGCCTCTGGTTATGCTCCCAGTGCCCCTGAGTTTACACTCTGGGAGGTTCTTCCTTGTCCATTATTCTCCAGGCTCAAAATGGAAATGGTCATTGAAGAGTATGTTTTCGTGGAGGCCGCTTGGGGACACAAGCAATGACTGGCTTTTGCAGACCAGATTTATGGTTTCTTTAGCAATTCAATTGCCTCAAAACCTTAGTAGGTTTCCATACTACTGGAAATATTCATTTCCACTTTATTACATGTGCAAAAACTACCCAAAGTTCTTTTCTGGACTTAGCTTCTAAACTTGTTTATTCTCTAGTTTTTATGCTCTACTTACTCCTCTTAATTGTTTAAGTGGTAGCTACTTTGAGATAATCTTACAAAATAAGGGATAGGAACATCCTTAATATGATCTTGGCTATAAGGCTAGATTTCTTTCTTTGGCTGAAGAATTTTAATGGGATGGCTTTAAGAAAGCCTCTGAGAAACAGTCTTATCTTCTCCTGCTTGGACTATATAAATAGTTAAGATTTTCCAACCCTATGAGGCCCCAATTTTCTATACATTCTGTTTCCTTCCAACTCTGCTTGTAAACACATCATTTCTTAAGTGAGGTCATTTCTTTCTTGAAAAACCTTGTAAACTCAGCAAGGAGCAACCATTATACATTTGTGTTCTGTTTTTTTCCAAATGCTTCTCCTAAAATTCAGCCGTAAGAGGAACAGTCAGTCTTCAACGCTGAGTAGGTGAAATTTTTACCAAATATTTTGCAATGGCATTATAGGGGTCCCTAGTTTTCAAGCCTGCAACACCTGTTTCCTCACTGCCAATTATCTGAAGTCTTATGGTAATGTTGTATGTTAGAAGATTTTGTTAGTCCACTTCTGGATATTTATTTTTATGTTAGTTAAAGGCTAAACTGCTATAATAAAGAGACTTCAGAAATTAGTGACATGAAAAATATGAAAATTTCTTTTCTACATAATAGCTGGGCCGAGGCTGACAGGTACTCTGTTCTGTGAGGCAATTCAGGACCCAGATTCATTCTATCTTGTTGTTGCACCTTTCCTGGATGTCTGCCTCATCTTCATGGTTGAAGCTGGTCATAGACATGTACATGAAGGGCACAGAAAGTTGTCCAGGGCAAGCCACATTCTTTTAAGAGGACAAAGCAGAAGTTGTACTTATCACTTCTACTCGTATTTCACTGGCAAGAACGTACCCACAAATTCATACCTAACTGCAAAAAAGGATAAGAAATGCAGTCTCCATCTGAGTGAACATGTGACCAGAAAGAAGAGAATGGATTTACGACAATAATTATTAGTTTGCCACAAAAAGTAAGAAGGAAAGATACCCAAGGTTAAGAATCTTGAGTTGTACAAAGACCAAAATGGGGTAAATAAAGATTTTGTTTCTTAGAGGGAAAGAGAATGACAATCAGAAAGAAAGAAAGAAAAAAAACAGGCAAAATCTAGCTGGTGCGTACCCAAGTTTCCATTTTATTCTTTCCAGTACTTTTCTGAGTATTTTTTATTTTCTTAAATGTGTTTTTTATTTTTAAAGGAAGTAGGTAGAGAAAAAAAGAGCTGGTAAAGATGTTCTGTATCTGATAAAGAAGATTATCAGGATAGAACAATAATGATATAAGGAGAATCAGAAAAAGAGGGAGTAATGAAAGTCAATGGAAGAAAAAATTTAATTATCCAAGAGAAGAATGGTTAGAAAAAGAAATTTTCTTTGGACTTGAAAATCTAGAGGTTATTGGTGAATAATTATGGTAGAAGCTAGATTTCAGTGAATTAAGGAGTAAAAAGAGACAGGGAAAAAAATGAGACAGCAAGCATGGACTAGTCTTTTTAAAAAACACTGATGTTTTAGTACAGAAGAGATAAGATGGTAACTAGTTATGACTCTTTCCACTTGCATGAGGATTAAGACTGGAACCAGTCCCTTGGGGCTGACTGGGGTATCAGGTCCTAGAGACTGGGTGGTCCACAGTTCTTACTGCCCAGCATATATATAATGTGCATCTTGACTGGGTGGAAGAACAGAGCACTCTGCATGTTAGGCGGTTATAAATGAGGTTTTGGCAAAATCTGGAACTATTCTCAGATGTGGTGGTTGAATCCTATAGCAATGGAGTCCTGGGTGTGGAAATGAAGGACTCAAAACACCTCAGCTACATCTGGAGTTTGGGCAAAACCTTCCCCTTTGTAATATCAATGGGGAGGAGCAATAAGTCACTAAACATAAATGGAGAAGAGGGATATGAATCAGCAGTAGGAAAACATAAACTTCAGGAACTTTTATTTAACAGACTAAGTTAGAAATATGACCTCCTTCCATCCCAGGCCCCCATAAGAGGAGACTCAGAATCAACAAATTCTACTTAGAGTTGGTGCTATTTCTTCAGAGTGGCAGAGAAAGTAACTATATCTTGTTCTTACACAGTAAGGCCAAAATTCATTTAAGAAAATAAATACCATCTCATAGAGAAAGAATTGTATTGTCTCTAAGAAAACAAATGCTGCTTATTGCAATGTGGGCTTATGTTCCAGGTGACACAACTGCATGTGTGAACGGGAAGACTGAATGACTACTGGAAGATTCACCTTCAACCTTGCTCATGAGACTTGAGCCTATTACCCTCCGGAGTCCCAGATGACTGAGTACAAAATGAAAAAATAAATGCTCATCAGATAAAGTCTGACTCATTGTGATTTTGGAAGAAGAAACCACAGGATGAACACTTGTTTGATGGGAAGTGTTGAGTATTTCTGAAGGATCGGACAAGGCTACCGGACTGAGAAGTTTGGAAGAAAGAAATGTAAGAGGCTAGAGAGAAGGCATCAGAAGAGTGAAGGGGATGTTCTCCTTATAAGGCTTAAGTCTGGAAAATCACTCCTCTGGGTAGTTTGTCAGGCCCTTACAGAAAGGTTATTGGAGACCTATGTGGTTGTGGCTGACACGGAAGTTTAGCTTAATAGGGTAAACTTAATGAGCCCCATTTGTTTGGAGGCTTTATCAGAGAAAGGGTCTGTTTCTGTTTGCAGGAGCAAGTCTGGGCAGCACCAAGTCAACCAAGCTCTTGGACACTCAGACACTCTTTGGGCCAGCATATTATGGAGGTATCCAGTAAGCACAGGACAGTGTCATTCTAGGGCCTGTGTTCATCAGTCCCTGACTTTGGTAGCACTGGGCGGGCCTGCTTCCTCCACAGGCTGAGAGGAACCTCCGTACACCTGGAGTCCACCAAGAACAGACGGCCTGGCTACAAGTTCAGGATGACCACCTCTCAGAATCTGAAATAAAATCTTGCCCTGTGCTTGCCAGAAGGGTTCAGTTCCATGAAATCATTCAATGCATAAAAATAGACCGGGAGTGGGAAAATAGCTCGGCAAAGGTATAAAAGGTGTGGTTAAAGACTGGAGTGCCATTTTAATGTGGTTGGGCTGTACCTGACTGGTAGTTTTAAAAAATTATTCTGTGCCAGACTGATTGAAGGAGGGTTTTATTGATTATGCTTATTTTTTAATAGGAGAGACTTGAACTTTATAGGCTAAGGGTAAAAACACAGTGAGGTTCAGTGTGGAAAGCCAAGGCATAACTGATGGAGGAAACTGACCATGATATGTTTTATTTAGTTTATAGCATCTTTTCAGAAAATGGCAGCTTAGAGATTCTTTTAAGTTTCTAAGTTAAGACACAGCTTTTCCATAGTTCCCTAGATAAATATTCAGTAAGTATTACAAAGTGTTAAGACTTTCTTGAGTTCATGTAAGTTGTGTTTTAACTTACTCCAAAACATATATAACCAGCAAAGATTCCACCTGGGTACTGATGTGAAGAAATGAATCTTGAGATTGGAAAATAGCTAAGTCATCTGAAATTTCCATCAAAAAAAGTTTGTCAGTAAATTAATATGATTAACAAATTGAGAAGAGATTCACAAGGAATAGGGTACCTAATGTTGATGAAAGATGAACAGGGTCTTAAATAAATCATGGAGACACTGAAAAGAAACCAGGTTAAAGAGCACAGCAAGAGCTATATATCCACTGTTGTAAAGTGTACTCATATATTATTTACACAAAACTTCCAAGAGAAAATAACACTAACCTTTAAGCAGCACATCTGTAAATTTCATTCTTCACATTCTCTTCTTTTAATGTAACATGCTTTCTGTCTTAAGTACCTTCCCTGAGTAACACCACTATATTCCTGAAGCCACAAGATAGCCACAGTTCATCCACAGGGAGTCAAATAAAAGTACTAGCAGCATTGATCTGGCGTGGTAAAGCCTCAATTTGCCTCACATACAGAATGGGGATAATAATAGTACTGAAGTCATAGGATGGTGGTGAGTAGTTGAGAAAGTACATAAATGCCTACTAAAGGGTAGACTGCATGTATTTTTATGTATATGAATTCACAGGTTTGCCACATTTTCTCTTCATTTAAAGTTAAGAAATAATGTATGGTCAGATAAGGGTGAAGACACAATTTCTGTGTTTATATCAAGGACAAAAAGCTCTGTAGCAGCAGAAAAGAATTTGAGAGAGATACAGAAAATGTATCTTTTCTCTATGTACAATGAAAAAGAAAAGATTGATGGAAGTGCTGGGAAGATACTTTGTGGGAAGGGAGGGTCGGGATAAGGAGAAAAGTAATTCAACAGGTTTCAAACTCAATATTTAGTACAGAAATGGAATCGTTTATTTATTTATGGGTCTAAAACTGAATATCTGGTACCTTTGAAAATTCAAGGTGCTCCTATTGCTGTGGCTGTCATTAATAAACAATATAATGTGGTATGATACTGTGGTAGACTGGGAATATACTTTTAAATAAGATTTTAATGTCTTGCTGAATTTGGAACTGACAAGGGATTTTGGGTGTGCAGGGCTAGGCAAGGGATTTATAAACATAGCTGGAAAGATGTATCTGAGATAAATGGACATAAAATGAGAATAAAATTAGTGTGCCTAGCAATTTCACTGTAAATTCATCTTAAACAAGGCTTAACTCAAGAGTGATATATATCCACATATATACAAAGGTATATAGAGTGAGACACACACATGCATATTCTATCTAATCTGGTATCTTTTTTGAATGAACTTGGAGAAAAAACTAAAAAACAGAAAAGCAATTCTTGACTGGCATGTAAAAAAGCCACTTTTTCCAAATCTCTTTCCTCCTACTCAGTTCTAATTTTATAAATGAAAAGTCAAGCATAGTAAATATTATATTCTGTCTTGCTTTTTCATACATAGTACAGTAGCTGGTATAAATATACAATAAAACTCTTAGTGATACGTAGAAGAGCATGAGCTTTTTGGACTTCTGACTACCAATTATTGGCTTTGCGACCCCGAATAAATGGTGTGATTTCTTTGCACCTTAATGTCTTCATTTGTAATATGGGGATCATTAAAGCCCACCTCACATGGTTGCTATGAGAATTAAATCAGTTAATTCACATTCTGAGTGCCTGGTGTATAGTAAGCACACAGTAAATGCCAATTAGTTATTAAAAATTGCCTTAGTCTTCAAGGGTTAGCATTCATAGAATCCAAGAAGTGGCTTCATGAAGGAAAAGGTTACAACTTAAACATATATTGGTATATTTGACAAGGAAAAAAAGTATTGACTATAACTAAGTTTATCTGGGTTGTACAAGGACAATTTCTGTCACCTATCCTGCCCAACCTTCCAGAAGATCTTAATGGCAAGGCATACAACATGAGTCCTGGTGGCCACAGTTCTGTCTCTGGCCCAGGCTAAGAACTCCCTCCCACCTTTACCCTACCTTGTGGGCAAACATAACACTGACCAAAGAGGTCTCCCTGATTCCTGCAGAAGAGCTTCAGTCTTCTTTATCCACACTTCATTAGGACTGAAGATTGTCAGACTCTGGTGAGAAGGGGCTAGGTGCCAGGACCCCTAGCAGCCCACACTGCAAGGCAGTCCACGAAAGCACTGGTGAGATCGCTTTTCTCTAGGAGGCCCTGTTAGGAGGTATGCAGTTTCACAGAGTCAGGCTCGTTGTTAAGTCACTGCTTGGGTGTTAAGTGTCACTGCCTTATACTGTACCCTCTGTGCCTAGCCCAGTGTAGGTACATAGTAGGTACTAAGCTGAACTGAAATGAGTTGAGAGTCCTCATCCCTATTTACTTCAGTCAACAAAGGCACCCAGATCAGCCATTATTATCCTGCTTCTTATCTCCATATTTACTTGCAAATCTCCCAGTCTGATCCAACTACCATTCCTCACCACCCTTCAAACCCTTCCACTGCACCTGATCTATAACCTGCAACTTCCCCTTTAGCTTCTCCTTCTTTTTGAATGTCTTCTCAACTTCCCTGCATAAACTGAAGCCTTGCTGTCCCACACTTCCTCAGTATGTCTCTCAAATGGAAACCATTTGTTTCTCACACCCCCACAGAGGTGGGAAAGGCCTCCCTCTCAATCCCTATCACTGCTTCCAAACCATTTCTCCTTCTTTCAAAATCTCCAGCTCCTTTGAAGTTCTTGTCATGTGGTTGTACAACACTGTATCAGTCTCCCTATGGGATACTGAGGGCACATCTGTATCAGGCTAATTTGAGGATGATTTAATAAATGAACTATATACAAAGGTATGAATAACGTAGGTAAGGCATAAAGGGTAGTGCAGTAATTCAGGGCCAGTAACAGTGGAACTGTTACCACCCCTAGGCCTGAAGGAATAAGGGAGTTCTGGGACTCAGAGGACAGAGATGTGCAGAGAAGGCCCCAGTGAAAAGCAGAGATGTTCAGTTCAGGGACATGGCCTCCCTCCCTCAGATCTGCTGAGGCTCCCCATTGGCCAAAGCTGGCCAGAACCAGAAATGAAGGAGACCTTTGGATTCTATCTGTAGGTTTCAGCTCCCACGCACAGAGTGGAGTGGAGAAGCATGGATCTGGAAGGGCAAATGGAAGATATCCAGCTTGTACCCAAAGCTCCTTTTTAGTTGCTGTCATCTTCCAACCTTTTACTCTTTGAGCACCTGAACTCCTAGGTCATTAACTTCCTCTCTGCCCCTCAGTGACTTCAGCATCCATGTGGGTGTCTTTTTCATCCATTCCTATAATCACTCCCTAAATACTACTACCAGTAGTAACACAATATTGACTTCAAGCATCTCACTCCCTGAACCTCACCTCCTGTCTAATTCACTGACTAGTTCTTTCATTGTCATTTTTCAACCTTCTTTAGGCCTCGATCCAGCGACTTCACACTCTCCCACTATTCATCCACACTCTCTCCTCCACTCTCCTGTCTCACCTTCCTCTATGTCCAGAGGAGACACCATGGGCCTCACTCCCTTGAAAATAATCATCTCTAATGTATTCACCTGTCAAAAATCTAAATTTGGTTAAAGCCAATTATCTGACTTTCCCACTGGGAAAATAAAACATAAAATCATGCTTTTTTTCTACTTGTTATCACAAGCTTCAAAAGGGTGTTGCTATCTGCCCAGAAATCCTGCACTGATCCTGATAAATACGCCAAATATCCTCAAGATGATTATTTCATACCATCTTTCTCCTTGAGCCTGTTTTACTCAGCACCCCCAGGCTCCACACCCTCATCTATTCACCACTGATTCTAGAAACCTCCCAGCATCTGTATCCATATCTCTGCCCTCCATCCTGTTACCATGGAATGACAGTCCCTCCTCTCAAAGCCCAAGCCCTCCACTTGTGCTCTAGATTCCAACCCTTTTCATTTTTTGAATAAATTAGTTTCTGTTCTCATTCCCTTTCTCCCATCAATTTTCCTCTATTGGATCATTTTTAATGTCAAATATGTCAAGTAATCCCATCTTAAAAAAAATGTTTCCTCCTTCATTACAAATTCCCCTCCATTTCCCATCCAATGTATCCATTCCCCTTCAAAGAAAAGTTTGAAATGATTGTCTTTGGAGATTGAAATTTTCATCTCCCATTTTCTCTTAACCCACTTCCATCTGCCTTCCACAACCTCCATTCCATTGAAATGCTGCCCTTGTTTAAATCCCCAGTGACTAATTTGTTCCCAAGTCACCGGACCCCACCTATCAGCAGTAGGTGACATAGCAGACTGCACTCCCATTCTTGAATTATTTTTCTCTCCTGGTTTTTGTAGACACCATCCTTCCCTGATTTGCCTCCTATTTCCCTGGCTTTTCCTTTCCCGTACTCTTTGGTGGCTCAGTCTCCTTTGCTACACCTTTAAATGTTAATGAGTCCAAACTCTTTATCCTGAACTGTCCAACACAGTAGGCACTAGCCATTTGTGCCTATTTACATTCAAAGTAAGTTAAATGAAATAAAATTAAAATTCAGTTCTTTAACTGCACTCACTACATTTCAAGGGCTCAATAGGCATATGTGAATAGAGGACAACATGGACATAAAATATTTCTATTATTGCAGAAAGTTCTATTGGACAGGATTGACCAAAATCCCCTCCCTGGGCAATCTCGTCCAGCCCCGCAAACTTAAATGCCATCTATAAGCGGAGTTCTAAATTTATAACTCTAGCTCTGACCCAGGCTTCAGATTTGTGCATGAAACTGCCTATTTGACATAACCACTTGGATGTCTAACAGGATATTCAAACTAACATCCAAAATGGAATACTTCATTTTCATCTTCTCCTCCCCGTTCTCTACCCACAAAAGCTTGTCTCTCTTCCTGTCTATCTACTCTTAGCAAATGACACCATCCAAGCAGTTTCGAAGAAAAAAATCTACAAGCCATTTTGATTCCCAATATCTAATCCATCAATGAGTCTTACTGACTCTACCCATAAAATATATCTCAATTCTACCCTCTTTTACCTCTACGGTCATCTCGCAGGTTTAAGGCTCCTGTCTGGGCTACTGTCCCACCCATACGAGATCCCCTGCACTTAAATCTAGCTCATAGCAGGTGCTCACTAAATAGTTGAATAAATTAATAAGTACAGCCCTACTGAATAGTACAAAATAATCTTAACTTTTAAAGTACCATGAATAATATTTAATTGCCATTGAAACTTTAGGAAATAGATTTAAGAAAATAAAATGACTTCCCAGATAGACTTCACTTCACTTATGATTGGTTATGGCTCAATATCATTATTCATTTTGTCAATAAGTAATACATTTTCCATTCCTTTCACAGCACTGTAATTTACCTCGATGCCTGTTACCTGCATTATCTGTGCAACTCACCTTCTTCCTGCTCAGCCTTGCCTTTCCTGATTAATCCAGTACAGCTTCATGACTTGATTATCTATTTCCTTGATGCTTATTACAGCCCAGGACTCATCTCACCCAGCAGACATTTATTTTGTTCAGGAGTTCTCAGTTTTGTTCCTGTCCCTGCCTGCCAATTAGATTCTCCCCTGCAGTCTTCAAATTTCTTGTCAGGAACACTGAACAGTTTGACCCTAGCCTTAATTAAAAATAACCAATAATTCCAATGTTTGCTACTCCACCCCCTTTGATTCTCTGCATTTACTGGCAGCTCCTAAATGCTTGATCACCCCATTCATTCCTGCTGCATGCCTAGTGCTTTCAGACTGATTTTTCCTACAGACACAGGTAATTACATTAGTGAGCGTATGGGGTAGTGGAGAATGTGAGGGTGTCTTCTGGGGCCTGTAGCCTTATCTTCACAATCCAAACATTATTATCTGCCTAGCCAACACTCACCTCAGCTTCCTTGCTCTCCAAGAGAATGCCCATTTTGCTTAGTACCCACTCTCAATCAAATGGCCACATACAACAGATAAGAGTTAATATGTTATCTTCTTCCACCTATCCCAGCCAGCTCTGAGGTCTCATTCCTTTTACAAATATCCAGGAATGAAAGTAAGTAGCGTGAGGGGTTCTGGAAAAGTTTCCTCACCTTTAAAAAAAGACCCAGTGACAAGATAACCTCTTTTTTGACTCTGGAAATTGCCCTTCCTGGGTGTAATGTCTGATGTCTGAGACTGCTAACGTCTTCTTTTAAGTATGAGGAGAGAGAGTGTCAGGCCCATGGGAGAAGGTGTCAGGTTTAAGCCTTTGCTAGAAATGGCAGAGTGTGCCATAAAAGAAAACTACATCCTTTGTAATATTCTTAAGCTGTTTTTCATACTGCACCAGAAGCCCTACCTCTGGACCTCCAATTTATTTGTAACACCAGGGGATTCTGATTACATCAAAATTTGAGAGGCACTTACAGACTTCTAGGAACACAACTATAAATTTTCTCCATCACTTACTATCTAAAAAAAATCGTAGGGAAATTATTTAACTTTTTGAATCTGTTTATCTGTAAAGATGGGAATAATATTCACCTTATGTACTTATTGTGAGGATGTAGGGTTATAAGGATTTGATGTAAGACTGAATACACTGAGTGCTGTGAAGATCATTGGCCAGAAAATGACATTGCAATGTCCCTAAATGGTTCCAAGCTTGCCTACAGATAGAAATTGACACACTGGTTAGATAAACTGATCCCAGGCCTCTCCCCTGGAGATACAGATTCAGTAGCTCCCTAGTGAACCCTGAGAGACTGCATCTTTAAAAACACATTCTAGGCTCCAGACCAATGTGATAATCAAGCAAGTATGAACTTAGCAAGGAATATGTGATGTGCTACTCCGGTGCTGCAGGTGCTAGGATTTTTGGTTCCTAAATCTAGATCTGCCACTATTTCACTTGAGCAAGCTATTTCACCTTTCTAGATCTGTACTCATCCATATACTTGTCCTATTTAACCTACAAATCTATAGGAACAGAAAGGCAAAGTACACTTGAGGTAAAGGGACTTCTTTAATCTCAGTACTTTTATATTGCTGCAATGTGGATTAAGTGGACATAAAAACAAGCAAAACTGGGATGGGAGATGTTTGGCTTTGCAGTAAAACTAACTGAATATTAATTGTAGGACAACGCCTTCCTTATCCTATTACTTTAAACTAAAGCTTCCACTCTGTAGATAAAGTGAAGGTTCCTGTGGCCAGTATTCTCACCTAGCCCTGGTTGGCTAGCTCACTACACACGTGTGGGCAACACGTCGTTATTTTCTCTATATAAAGAGCCCTGCCCAGCGCTCTGAGCAACAAGGAGCTGGTGTGTTCCTTGCACGACTGCAAGGTTGCCGGAGAGCAGAGCAGAGGCTGGAGTGGTGACAGCACGGAGGACAGAGACTGGGACGGCTGCGGGGACAGAGAGGCCCAGAGGCAGAGACTGCCTTGCTGCATGCAGACTCGCTCTGAGTGGACAGGATTCTAGTGATTGACCTGCCACAGTAGGAATAAAGTTGGGTATAAACCCTTTCATCCCAAGAACGTTCCATTGTCATTTAGTCACATTGAATCCATAGTGAGCTTGCCGGGAGCTGCAACCCACTGGCAAGACACACTCCTCTCAGGATCATGACATAATTTGAAGTGATCGCCGTTATCTACTCTAGTCAACAGTTTGAGATTGTGAAAACCCCTAGAAAGCTTATGTTGGGAAAGAGAACAGCCATCTAGTTTGAGGGCCCTAAATTCAATTATTTGTACCAAGGTGTCTTTTACAGGCAAACACTTTCAGTAACGGCTGCATGTGCAACAGAAACATTCCCCTGGCATTCAAAAATGAAGGGAATGAAGGGAGGGAGGAAGGAGGAAGTAAGGGCGAGGTCTGCCATGGCCTCAGGTGGAATTCAAGAAGTTGGTACAGCTGGCGCCTTCGGGGCTCACATGAGCTCGTCACGGGTGGAAATCTGACTTCTCTAAGGCTAAATTGCCCTAATTTCAGTTTATACTTGGAGGATGGCCGCCAGAACATAGCAGGGAAACCCAGAAGGCCTCAGAGCCCGGATTTCTGCCTTTGACCCTAAACTCCTCCCAGCACAAACAAGCCCCGCCCAGCGAGGAGCTCGACACGCCCCGTTTGAGTCTCCTCGGTCCCCGTAGTTCTTGAACTTTGACCGCTCCTCAGCGACGCCGCCGGAGAACACGCATGCGTTGTTTCTTTGAATGTCTTGCGCCTTTATCTTCACAGCGGCCGGAGGAGCGGTGGCTGTGCTCCTGGCGCTGAGGCTATGGATGGTACTTCGTTGCCAGGCCGTGGGGCCCCGTGAGTCTCTCAGGCTCTTGGTGGTGGCTGGGTCTGGTAAGTTCAAGGGCGGTGACTGTCGGTTTTGGGTCCGTCACTACAAACGCGACGCTCTTACCTGGTCGCCTTAGCACTTTTTGGAGCTTTGCATGCTGAGATTTGTAGTTTCTCTGCGTTGCCGGAATCTGACCAGCCAGGACAAAATGCTGGTTTGCTGACGTGGAAGCCGTTTGATGCTAACATGGAATTTCCCTGAATATAAATTGCTGTTGTGCATTTTTGATCTAGGCATTGCATAATTAGGATTCATGAATACTAGATAAATGAGACAAAGAGTTAAATATCATATTTATAAATACACATACTCCATGAGGATAAAAGCAATTATCTACTGACCATAGAACAATACACATTTCAAGATAGTGTGTCAGAGTATGTAAAACAAGCTGTCCTGTCAGATAATGCCATATAAACAGATACAAATACCAGCTCTGTAGGCGCTTACAATTTTAAGTGGTCAGTTCTGTCAGAGATATGCATACAGTGTACATTTAGAAATGCCAGGAGATTGCGTCCAGATAGAATACTATAGTATGAGCAAATGTTATAAGCATGTTCATGTATGATTCATTAGTTTCACTTAACATATTTTGAGCCATTGGAGAGGTCAGGCACTATGCAAAGCTCTGGAAATACCAAAACTAACACTACTTGCTATGGAGTAGGGACTATGCCCCGAGAACCGTGAAAGGTGCAAGGGTACAGCAGTAAATGAAGTGGAGATTATGGAAAAACAGAAAACAAAAAGCAAAATAGGTACTTGCCATAACAAGATAAGTGCTACAATGTGGGAAGTACAGACCGCTGTGGAAGTGTTCAGGAAGGACACCGCTTTGTCTGAGCCTGAGACAGGAAGCTTCCTGGAGGAAATAAGGTCTAAACTGAGACTTGAAAGATGACCAAGAATTAAGCAGACAAAGGGGAGCTGGGACTTTGAGGGCTGGGAGGGTGTGAAAAGAAGGTACAAGTACTTGGAATGTACAGTCGTGAGAGGACACTTATTATTGTATTTGAGTTCTATGTGGGGAGGTAAGCCCAGTCCAAATCCTAACGGGTGTTTTAAACCCGTCTCTGTAGAGCTATTAGCACTACTCCACTGCTTCTTACCATGTAGGGATTAGGACCATGGGCCTCTAGATTGATCTAATGCTGGAGATGAATCACTTCGCTGCCATTTACTAACTTGTTGATCTGGAGCAAATCAGCTAACTTCACTGAGCCTTCTCTTTCCACCTTGAAAAATGTGGGATGAGAAGAGATGTGGTGACATTAAATGTGGTAGTGTTTAGCAGAGTACTTGGCATAAAGGAAGCATTTAATAAATGGTGACTATTGTTAGTTCTGGTAGCAAAGGGCTCTTTTAAAGTATTTTTAAATGGAGGTGACCCAATTAAATTTAAGCTTTCCCAAAGATCATTCAGCCTATGTTGTCAAGAGAATTTTTGACCAGGACTGAGGTAGGGGGACAAATAGAAGCCTTGTTTTAAATATTTCACATGATAGTCTGACTTGGATGATGGTGTGCAGATGGAGTGATATGTATGCATTTAAATGAGGTTTAGTAGATTAAAAAAGAAATAATAGGTCTTGTGGATTCAAAGTGATGGGAGAGGAAGGGCTCAAGAATGATGTCCAAATTTCCATCTTGAACAAATGGATGGATGTCTATTAAAGCCATTCACTTGATAGTATTAGATTTGGTGGACTGGGGGCCAAAGTTAAGATTTGAGAATTTGTCTAACATGTGTTGCCCTCTGTCATGCAAACCATTTAGAGTAGGGAGAGATCAAGGACCTCAAAGAATTGTCCAAGACAAAGAGACACTTGTAGTTAAACAGTTTAATAGTTCATGTACAAAATTTTGGAGGAAGGGGAAGGCATTTTCAGGGTTTACCATGAATGCCAAAAAACGTTTTCTTTTCAGATGTAAATATTTATTAATAATAATTCAGTGTTACTGATCAACCACTTTTATTCAAAGAACATCAATCAAAATTATGACTTTTCTTTGATATACCATATGGTGTCCTTAGGCATATCTTAGATTTAGTATCTAGCACTCATCCATCCATTCATTCAATAATAGGAGTGCCTATTATTTTCTAGGCACTAGAGGTACATCAGTTACAAAATGAGCAAAAATCCCTTCTGTCATGGTACATACCTTCTAGCTGAGCAAGGGTGAGGGGAGGCAAAACAAAAATAAATAAACTGCATAGTAAATTATATGGTGATAAAGACTATGAAGTAGGGAAAGGGAGTTGCATTTGAGAAGAATTGCCTGGGAAAGCCTTCCTGGGAGGATGACAGATACCCACTAGCAACGAGGCTGGCTGGAATAGACTGAGTAAGGAGGGAAGAAGCAGATGAGGGCCATGAGGTAACAGAGAAGGGGTCAGTTTACAAGAAGTCTTTTATTCCATGTGAGAGGATAAGCCATTGGAGGGTTTGAGCAGAGATAAACAATTTGATATACTTTTTGAACTAGAATCACACTGGATGGTGTGTTGAGAAAAGACTGAAGTGGACACTTGAATAGCAAAGTAGAGTTGGGAGAATAGACCAGAGGCTTTGGTCTTAATCCATGTGAGAATAATATGGCTTGGAGCAGGGTAGGGGCAAAGGAGGTGGTGAGAAGTGGTTGGATTCTAGATACATCTTAAGGTAGAACTGGGGTGCACGGTTTTGAAATTAAAGTTTAAAAATTTTAGAGGTTACACAATTTCAAAAATTAACAAACAACTGTTCAGTGAGGCTGCTTTAAATAGTTGAGGCCCTGTGGTATGCTGAGACCGCTCTTGGGAGCGGGACTTAACAGTGGTAAACAAAAGTCTTCCTCAGGACGACCCAGCCCTGTGGATCAGTGCTCATTCTTCCTGATGTTTGGTACTTCTCAATACAGCACTATTAGCTACCATCTTCCCATTTCAGCCTACTTTCCTGACCTTACTTCACCCTCGTCCATCTTCCAGTATTCTTACTATCCCTTAAACACGCCTCTCAGATCCTGCCAACTTATGTCATAATAAATCCTAGCCCCGCCAATGGCCTCCCTACTCCTCTCTGTCCATTAGCTTCACCTTTCAAGTTATCTCAACCTTTAACTGGATCTCTCACATGCTTATGGCATGGTTTTGCACAGCCATTTACTTGCCTCCTCCAACCCCCATTTAAATTTTTCTTGCTGTCTTGCATGGGACTTTATATGTCTGTGTGTGTCTGGCCCATTTCCTGCCAGGCTTCTTGATAACAGAAGCTGCATCTTACACTTTGTACCTTTCTCAGCGCCACTGCTAGTGCTGATTTTATGTTTATTGTTCTCTTGCCCGTGTAAAAGTGGTATTTATATGAAGGCATAGATTATTGTTTCTAAATATTTCTTGTCTTGTGAGCAGTACATAAAGCATAGCATCAGTATAACATAGTCATCGTAATCTTAGGCCTTCCAATGTTTTTTTCCAGGTGGTCATACCACTGAGATCCTGAGGCTGCTTGAGAACTTGTCCAGTGCTTACTGTCCTAGACATTATATCATTGCTGACACTGATGAAATGAGTGCCCATAAGATAAAGTCTTTTGAACTAAATCGACCTGATAGAGACTCCAGTGGCATGGTAAGTGATAATTTCTATTTTTAAGAAAGTTGCAGGTTGTATATTGAATATAATTATCTCTGGAAATAATCTCATGGCACTTCAGTGCCCTGTCTGTACAAGGCAGTCAGATGTTTATTGCTGACTAAATAAGGTAGGACTAAGAATCTCTGTTTGACTTCCTTCCTCCCTTAATTTACTGCTAGAACAGTGCATCCCCTGTTAGAAAAAAAGCACCACCCTATTCTTGAAAGGGTGTTACTTATGAACTTGAAGCTGGAAGAGTTTCCGCAGAGATGGAGAGAGAGCCATTGAGGTGTTAGTATGAACATGCCTGTGTCATTTCTGCTGGCCACCCCTGTGCTACACTTGGGGAGGGGACAACAGGTGGAGATGCCTTCCCACCAAGCCTGATAAAGGTAGGAACCCACTTAGTCCTCTCTTTCTGCCCTACAGCTGAGGGGAATTGTACCTTCAGCCCCCCAGTAGTTATCCATTGTACCTTCCATAGAGCTCACAAGACTGGGAGAGGCAGGGATCTCCTGAAGAAATGAGTAGTGACCAATATATTTTCTGGCAGTCTTTGTCAGCTGAGAGTACTGACTAGCACAGTAGCCACCAGTACTGGCCCAGCCCATTTATTGAATAGTCCTTTTGCCACTTATCTGCATATAGAAAGTACATGAAAGTTTCTATGTACGTATAGATCCGTATCTGGGCTTTCTTCTTTGTTAAGTGGTTCATTGGTCTATCTGTGGGCTAATACCAAGTTCACTTAGTCTGACTCTTCATTAAGTGTCTTAATTATTCTTACTTTTTCTCATAGGTTTTTGAATTAACTTTGACAGGTTCACAGAGAACACTGTTGGAATTTTTATTTGAGTTTAATTGAATCAATACATGAATTTGGAAAACTTACATCTATATGATGATAATGTTCCTATCCAGGAACATCATCTATCTTTCCATTATTTTCATCTCCTTTCATGCTTTTCTGTAACATTTCTAATTTTCTTCATAAGAATCATGCATATCTTTTGTTGTTTTTACTTCTAGGTACCTATATTGTTTTATTATCATCATAAATGATATATCTTTTAACACTATTCCTGTCTTGCAGTATATAAAAATACAACTGATTTTTCTATAATGATCTTATTAGAACCACCTTGCCACACTCTAATTTTAATTGTACACTTTAGTGTTACCTGTGAAGATAATCTCGTCATCTACAAACAGTAACAATTGTGATTCTAATCCTTACACCACTTCCTTCTCTAATTTTGTTAGAACTTCTAGAACAGTAATGAAAATGAAAAGGAACAGTGTAATAGAACATCCTTGTATTCCTTCTGATTTTAAAATTTGCCAAGAGTTTTATTTTAAATCGTGTTTGATTGTTGATTTTTATCAAACCATCTGAAATATTATATGCTTTTTCCAATTTTATCTCTTTAAAATTACATGGTTGAACTATTCTTGAATTCCTGAAATAAGCCCATCTTGTTCATAGTGCATTATGTTTTAATACATTGCTGGATTTTGTTTGCAAGCATATCACTTAAAATTTTTTCATTTATGTTTACGAGTGAGATTACCTTTAAGTTTTCCTTTCTTATGCTATTCTGTTAGTTTTGGTATCAAGGCTACACTGTTCTCATAATGTGAGTAGAATGTATGTGATTTTTCATTTTGGGGAGGAATTTGTGTAAGTGCAGAATTAAGTTTTAAGTTTTATAGAACTTGTCTATAATGCCACCTGGCCCTGATGTGTCATTTTTGTTCTGGTGATTTAACTCTTCAGGCTTTCAGTTTGTTCTTAAGTTACTGTTGCTAAGATATTTTTCTAGGAATATATCTGTTTTTTGAAGTTTACAAATGTATTGACATAAATATTTTCATAATATTCTCTTGTCGTTTTTATAATCTGTGCTGTAGTGTTTCATGGTGAATCTTTGTCCATCTCTTCATTTTTCCATTAGGCATATCTTTTGTAAATGACATATGGCACAAATTTTAAAATTCAAAATCAAAAATCATTATCTTCTAACTAGTATGTTTGTTACATGTATGTTTGTTGTGATTACTAATGTATTAGGTTTGTTTCTGCTGTTTTATTTGGTTCTTCCTACTTACCATACTTTTTCTTTAGATTTTTTTTTTCCTTTTCTGTCTTCTTTTTAAATTCAGTCTCTTTTTTCTCCTTTTTTCCTTCTCTTGGAATGGAAATTATTCTTAAACACTATCCTTAGATTGTTAATATGGTTACCTAACTTCAATCAAAAACTTAATATCTCTGTCCTCTTTCTGAAGAACAAGGCTTTTAGAATATTTTAACTGTGAGCACCTCTTCCCATCTTATATTTAGTATTTGTTCAGTATTTGGAATCTACCTTGTTTTTATACCACCCGAATTATCACTACTATTGTTTTAGTCAGTCAGTGCTTATTTAGATGTATATAGAATTTTATTTGCTTATCCTTGCTACTCTTCCCTTTTGGTTCCAATGTCTTTCTTCCAGAGGTATGTCTTTTATTAATTCTTTCATGGAATGTCTCTCAGTGGTTTATTCTTTCCATGCTTTTTTTTTTTTTTTGCCTGAAAATATCTTTTGGTTTTGCCCTTCCTTTTATTGCATTCTACATTTAGAAACCTAGGTTGGGTTGAATTTTTTCCTTCATAAATATGAATTTTTACATTCATTCATTTACTTAACAAATATTTATTGAGTACCTACTGAGTGCAAGTGATGTTGTAGTGAATGAAACATCCAAATATCTCTGCCCTTGTGGTGCCTACATTCCAATGGGGGGATAATGAACAATATAATTAAGAAAAATTTATAATGTATTAGTGTTGCTGGGCAGCTGCATCTGGGAGGTCGCTCCCTCCACAGCAGCTGAAACCTTAACCTGGCCAGAGGAGGGTCCTTGAGTCTGAATGAGAAAGAATTCTCCAGCAAGTCAGAAGAGTGTAGGTAAGGAAGGAATTTATTAGAGCGAGAGTCATAATGAGTGGCAGCGGCCTTGCAGGCAGCTGAGGGCAGGAAAGTGCACAGGGAGGAGCGGGAACTTGCTGACTTTCTAGGCATAGAGAAGTCTCCCTGTCCAGTTCCTAAAGCCAGGGTCACCTAGGCAAGGGGAACTTGCAGGCCCAAATCTGAACTCTGAGCAGCCCCCCTCTACTTATCAGACATAAAGTGGGGATGAGGTGGAGACTTGGAAATAAAATGAATTAGCAAAGAAACAAAGATGCTTCCTGCTGGAAAAGCATAGACAAAACACAGTGAAGTTGAGCAGTGAGAAAGCTTTATTTAAAGTTATGCACTTAAAGAGAGAAAAAGTGTGGGCATCCTCAGAGAGGAGGCACACTGAAAGGTTGGGGGGTCTCTCTTTTAAGCATTTTTCAAGAATGTGACAAAAGGCCAGAGGTGTAGTTGTCAAGTGGTCTCAAGATGCTTATCTCCAGTAACAGACATGCGTCTCTTTTCCCTATTATCAGTCCTTCCGCCAATTCCCCAAAATAAATTAACAGAAGAAATGTATTGATGGGGTTCCTCCCTAGGATAGCAGCTTCCCTCTGGGAACATATCAATCAAGACTGCCTGCCGTGCCCCCAGGGTGGGCTGAGTTATTGTTTGTTTGCTACAGAAGATGTTAGGAACCTTACTTCCTGACTTCCTAGCTTTCGATATGGAACCTTAGCCTTAAGATGGAATCCCTTCTCTTCTTACTATACTGCTTATATCTTAGCTTTTTTGGGAAAACTAATCATGATACTTATCTCAGGCCCCTGCCTTGTATCATGAGTGATAAATGCTAAGGAGAGGAATAAAGCACAGAAAGGGAATACGGAGTACTGGGGGGGGTTAAAGGGAGGTTGCAGTTTTAGGTAGAGTGACCAGGAAAGGTTGCATTTGAACAATCACCTAACCTATGTGAGGTATAAAGCCATCTGGAGAAAAAGAAATCTTGAAGCGGAAACAGAAATTGCAAAGGCCCTGAAGTGGGGCTGTGTCTGGTGTGTTTGAAATAGCAAGGAAGTCAGTGTAGCCAAGGCAAAGTGGGTGAGGGAGAGCTGAGTAGGTAACGAGGCCATAGAGGTCAAGGTGAGGGTGTTGGGTCAGATTTTTTTAAGACCTTGAAGTCCATTTTTGCTCAAGAGTTTTTTTCCCTGTGAACAGGTGACATGGGAAGCCATTGGAGGTTTTAGGTAGAGAAGTGATGTGATCTGACATATTTTAATAGGATCATTTTGGCTGCTGAATAAAGTAAAGAAGAGAAGAGCGGAAGCAAGTAAAGGAGTTCGGAGGCTATTGCAGTAATCCAGATGAGAAGCAGTGTGGCTTAGACCAGGATGGCAAAAGTGTATGTGATGGAAAGTAGTCAGAGTCTGGATTTATTTTAAAGGTAGAGCTAAATCTTATCTGCTGGTACATAAGATGTGAGCATGGGAAAAAGTTGAAGAGTGGAGGATGACATCAAGATTTTGGCCTGAGTTACCAGGGAAATGGAGTTGCCATTTATTTATGTGAGGAAGCTTACATGAGGAAGCCCGAGGGCTAAGAGTGGGATGTCTATGAACACCGAAGCAAAGATGTTGACTATGCAGTTGGGTCTGTGGTTCTGAAGGAGGGAGATCTGGTCTGGAATATGAATGCTGGAGTTATCTGTGCTTTCATGATGGTACTTGAAACAAGAAACTAGATGAGATCACCTGGGGATTGGGTATAGTTAGAAGATAGAAGAGGACAGAGAACTGAGGCCCAGGGTCCTATAACTTGCAAATATAGGGAAACTGTTACAGTCATGGAAGTATCAGCAGTTTGTTGTAGGCCTTTGTGTGCCTCCTCTCCAGAACTTGTAGGGCACTAGAACCCCATCCTCAGGTTGTGACATAGTTATGTCTTCCTCTCAAACCTCAGTGTCACAGATTGTCGGCTTCCTTTTCATTTTCTTCTTGTTTCTGGAAAATAGGGATTTCTCTTTTTTCCAGTTCATATAAAATATTTTGTTACATT